TTGCTGCCGCCGAGGTTGCTGCCGCCGAGGTTGCTGTTTTGTTCTTGTCCAGCTTCGGGCCGCTCTTCCGTGGTGCTCTCTTTCCCTTGGCAGCTTTCTTCGCAGTGCCGGGCTCGAGCTCAAGCTCTGAGACAGATCCTTCCATCTCAGCAGGTCGAAGCTTGGCGAGAGGTCCTTTCGCGCTCGGAGCAGTGGCAAGAGCCATGGGCTGCAGGGCTTCTGAGGTCGCACTGAAGTCCTGAGCTCCAGCTACGTTGGACCCTGAGGGACCTGAGTCTGCTTTGGCCTTCGGCTTGGCCCTGGAACGGGCCGGCGCATTCGATTTACCTTTGGCAGACCCCTTGGCAGCCTCCTTGGGCGCTGGGTTTGCCATGTGCGCATCGGGCATCGTCGCAGAATGCGCCTCGCCGGCGACGCCTGGATGGTCAGTCGGAACCTGGTCAAGTCCAGAGCCGTATGCAGATCCCGCAGCAGCAGGCGCTTCCGCTGCGTCGATTGCTGATGCTTCCTGCGGGGGAACAATTGCTTCTGCACCGCTCGGCTGTGTCGCGAGTGGTGCTGCCGCCTGTGATGGCCCTGGAAGTGTTAGTGTCCCAGCGAGGGAGACCGGCAAGGAGCCAAGGGGCCCTTCGGCTGGCGCACTTGCTGGATCAGCCGGGCCGGATGGCGGCTTTGCCTTCGACTTGGCAGGCTTCCTAGGCTTCGGCGGGGCCTTTGGCTTGGGCGGTGCTTTCGGCTTGGGCGGCGCCTTTGGCTTCGAGGTTGGGGCACGCTTTGAAGGTGCTTTGGCCTTGGGGGTAGTTGGCGCATCGGATTCTGCTCGCGCACGTTTTCCGGACTGCTTGGGCTTTGCCTGGACTGGTGCCGTGGCCGGGGTCGGGGCAAGTTGAGGCGACTGCGGATGCAGATCGTTTGCAGCTGCCTTTCCACCTTGGACGCTGCCGTCATCTGGACTCCGTGACTGAAGCGCTTCGACGTGCGAGGTCGAGCTGGCTTCTTCTGCAGGCTCTTGCGGCAAATCGTGCCTCTGCTCGTTTGCTGGACCGCTTTGTACTTCGTCCAGCAGGGCTGACACGCTGGTGAGACAGCCAATGTCTCCTGCCTGGGACTCGTGCTCGCTTTCGGCACATGTGTCCAACCCTTTTTGATTGCTAGATCGATGAGCAGAAGGGCCAGAGGGGACCGTTTCCGGTAATACCGGCTCTCCATGTCCAGGGGTCTGGCTGTTCTCTCGGCCCTCAGCACCCGGCGGTGGCGAGACCATGTCCAGCCCGACGTCACCACCACGACTTTGGCTATTCTCTGCGCTCTGCTCTGCCGATATGACGTGATCTGCTGTCGAGACGAATCCCAGGGCAGCGTCGGGATAGATGGGCTGATCCTCGAGGATGTCGTATTCGGACCCAGGGGCATCCTCTGAAGACGAGGTCGGAGATGCCGCACCAAACCAGCCAAGGGCTTCTTGCTCTGCTTTTGCCTGGTCCGCATTCAACGGTGAGGCTGGATGCCCGAGAGTCTTGCCGGCGCCAGGATGAATTGAACCGGTATCCTGCATCACGCCCGAAAGCGCTGTGGTTGCCAGATCGGCCAGTGTGCCCGAATGATGTGGCACGGCTTGTGGGACTTTCTGATCGGTTTCACCTTGCGTCTGAATCGACGCTGCCGGCACTTGCGAGGTCACGATGGGAGAAGCCAATTCAGGCGGCGGCGTGCTTGGTTCGATGGAAGCGCTCATGATGAGGTGCTCCATCAAGGTGTAGGATGTGCGATAACGGCGAGACAGTAGGTGACGGGAGGACAGCGCTCGCTTTCCTTGCTAGGTCCTAGAAGAAATTAGGATCTCGGAGACAAAGCCAGGCGGGAAAGTGGTGGTGCAAGTCCTACCGCACACGAGCAAGCCACGGCTGTTCCCTTTGACCGTCGTTGCTGAGTGGCTGTGAAGGATTCTGATGGCCTTTGTGCTGTTGTTGCTGGAAGGCGAGGCGTAGACGTCGCTTCAGCAGAGACGAGCAGCAGCAAGCGTGCTGCTGGTCGCATCTGCAACGTTGATCAACAAGACTTGCCGCCAAATGCAGAGAGGAGGTCGATGAAGATTGATGTGGATGTCGCCAGCAGCTGCAAGGGCCGCGTGAGCTAGGGCTTATTGGGGGCCGAAAGTGAGCCCCAGTTCATCCTCCAAAAGTGGAAATGACCCGACTGAGCATCGGTCGGTGGGGCCATTCAAGGATGGTTGGCACGCCCCTGCGCAAAGGAGCGGAGAAGAGATGCAGTGCTGCGGCGTTGAGACTGACAACTGAAAGGGGAGGGACGAGGAAGAGCTCGAAACTGGGATTAAGAGTATGCAAGAAGCTTGTGTGGGCTCGCTGGCGTGCAGAGCAATGCGATGCGGTGCGGTGCGGTGCGGCGCGGCGCGGTGAAATAAGCGCAAAGCCAAATGAAGGCGAGCTTCTTCTGGGCGGCGACGAGTGGGCTGCGTGGCGAGCCAACAGAGATGAGAACGAGGGCTCAAGATTGCAAGCCGCTGCTTGCCGGTGGGAATAACGGCTGCCGCGAGCAACAGCGCTGGGTTGAGATGAGCGGATAACGCGACGGCTTCGTCGTCGTCGTCGTCGTCGTCTTCGTCG